AGCATCTATCAAGACCTACCTCAAAAATTAAAGAAAAAACTTCATCTTCACCATCTCTTCATGTCCATGGCTTAAAGCTCAAAATCCGGCCATCCTCTATGTTTTCTGGCCACAGCTCGTGCTGGCATGCCTCCGCCCGCGACCCTCACGCCATTTCCAGCACAGCCCGCACGCAGGCCCGTCCGTACGCATACGTCAAGCTCCAGCCCAAGCTCATCACCGCGTCTCAGCCAAGCTCTAGTGTTCCAGTCGGTTTCAGCTCACTTTTCACGGCCAATACTCATTTCCATCTTCTATTCATGCACCAGTCCGCAGCTCGACCAGGGCTTGCTGGAGTAGGCCTGGTTGGACCTAGGCACGTGTCTCCAAGCATGGCTGTGGGTTGGGCTCGCCGATAGCCGGATGACTGACCGGAAAAGGCAGTTTGGCCAAAAAATGTGACAGCGGCCGAATTTTGTGATGGAGAGCTAAGGAAGGTGATATTTTTGTGATGGAAATGATATATTTGCAATAAAAATTTCAAGATCTTGAATGTAAAAAGTGAAGATGAATGTGGGGCTAGGGTTTTTGTTGTGTAGACGAAGGAGATGAAGTTTGGAGATGATGTATATATATAGGTGAGATAAATTAGAGTTTGATGTAGGATTTTAGCTTTTAAAATTGGACTTTAAATTTTCTAACACTTGGGGTTTAAAATCGGACGATGTAATCAGGCTTAGAATCGAGTATTGACTTAGGATAAACATTAAATGTTCGGGTGAAATAAATATTGACAGGACTATGAAATACGAAGTTGACTTCGTCAACATTCATAAAATGGTTGGGATCGATTTAATTAAATGGGCCGGAATAAAATCAAACATAGACTCGATTAACTAAAATGGGCCGGAATAAATTTGGAATTAAATATAATAGGGTCGTGCAAATTAAATATTCGAGCTTCGCCTGATGATATAGGATATTATACCTGCAAGGGTAAATCGGGTTGCTGAACCGGTCAAATGGGTTCTACTGCGAGGAAGCCGAACTAATCTAGTGATAATCGAACAAGATGATGATGATCGAACACCTTGAAGATAAGACCTGGAAGATTCTAGAACAAACATATCACGAGTAGTTGGAGGATCGACCAGTCGAGCAATTGAGCATTCGGGTATTTCACCCCTATATAAAGAGGGGGTGAGCCTTTCTTCCTTAACAAGATTTCCATTATTCTACTCAAATATACACATACTTACTTAAGCATCGGAGGCACTTCACCGGAACAACCCCCCGATGTGAGAGTTGTTTGCAGGTTTCCGGCGTTTCACCTGCGAGGACGAAAGGCGATCTATTCCAAACCGGCCAGGACGCTCACACTTGCATTATTGGCGCCGTCTGTGGGACTTCTATTTGAAAAGATGTGTCATGAGCTCAACATGGCGGACAGAATTCCTCGAATGAATTTTCAGTCTTCGTTCGATGATGCGTAGACGTCGACCAGACCAATGGGAACGGGTCCTCCAGCTGGCTTCTCTGCACCTCTGCAAACGCCGATGGCCCCAACATCAACTCCCCAAGGTGCGGTGATTCCAGGAGGAGGAGAGGGCATGAGCAGAGAGTAGGAGGCTCGTGGAGCAGCGTCAACGGTGGCCCTTGCGCCGTTGCAGGCAGATCCTGTCGTGCTGCAGCAGGGAGGACCGGTAGTGCAAACGATGGCGACACTCGCTGGAGGACAACCAGGAGGAGTACCGCAACCCCCCGCTCAGCAAATNGTGACGATGACGAGGGAGGAGATGTAAAGGATGATGGCCAATGCGGCAACGCAAGCAGTGCAGCAGGTTACTCACGAAACATCCCTGGCTACCACTGCGCCGACGACGGTGGTCGGCACTCAAGAGGAGGATGTGTCTAGCTATGGAGGTGAATGGGCTATGCAGGACCGGACGGC